GCCGACGCCGACGACGACGACGAAGACGCGACGACGACGTCGCCAACGGAGACGACGACGAGGGAGGAGAAAAAACGACGACGGCGACAACGACGACAACGACGATGGAGGAGGGAAGACGGCGACGACGCGAACGACGAAGAAGGAGGAAGGACGGCGACGCCGACGACGACAACGAGGAGGGAGGAGGGAAGACGAGGACGACGACAACGACGACGAAGACGACGACGACGGCGACGAAATAGGAGGGACGACGACGAGACGCCGACGACGGACGACGACGACGACGAGGGAGGAGGATAACGACGAGGGAGGAGTGAAGACCACGACGACGACGACGACGACGACGGCGACGAAATAGGAGGGACAACGACGAGACGCCGACGAAGACAACGAGGGAGGAAGGACGACCACGGCGACAACGACGACGGAAGCGACGACGACGCCAAGACGACGACGACGACGACGAGGAAAGACAGAAGACGACGACGGCGACGACGACGACGACGACGACGAGGGAGGAGGGAGGACGACGACGACGCAAGAGCGCGCGCGCACGCTTTTGTTGAAAACCCGTGTTGCGAAACCTTGTGTTTTTGTAGGTTGTTTGGACGCACGATTTTGGAATCCTTCCGAAACCGAAGGTTTTTGAAGGATTTCGGCATACGCGCGCGACGACGCGCGCGTCTGCACTTCGTCCCATTATGTTGCAGAGGATTCTCGCGACGGCACACGCGCAAGGGCGTTCGACAGATTTCGACATGCGCGCGCGACGTCCGTTTGGTAGCACGTTGTGGAAATATTGAAAAACCCATGGTTTTCTTAAGATTTCGCAAGAGCTTGCGCGTAAGCTTTTTTAGAAAATCCGTGTTGCGAAACCATGTGTTTTTGCATGTTTTTTGTGGGGGAATTCAATTTTGAAATCTCTCCGGAACCGCAGGTTTTTGAAGGATTTCGGCATGCGCGCGCGACGACGCGCGCGTGCGCACTTCGTCCCATTTTTGTGCAAGGGGTTCGCGAAACAAACTTATGTTAGAGCAAGAAATGCCACCGCATAATGTTTTTCTTTTAACAAGAGAACCTCAGGGGGAGAACCCGGTTTGGCTGGGATGGTACGATTTCATATTTAGGATGGACGAGTGTGCATCATAATATATATATATATACATATATATGTATATATATATATATATATATATATATATTATCCCAGGGGGAACCGATAAGTCCGATGGGGGGGGAGGGGGGCAGAACCTATCAATCTTTTAGAAAAGGGAATTGACTACCCTGCACCGCGCTTGACCACCTCCACTGCTCGCGCAACCATCCCACCCACCCACCCGCAACTTGGTTAGCAAAACCCATGCGGTGGCGATTGCGATGGGTGCTTGACGTTGGCTGGTCCATCTCTGCGGCCGCGCCAACCCAAGCACACACGCGCAGCGGCCAGCTAGCTTGGCGCGACCGACGCGGCCGCGGTGGCGCTGACCGCTGGGCACATTCCAGCGGGCACTTCAGTGCGAGTCGGCGATTCGGGCGGGCGCGGTATCATGGCAACGTCGACAACGGTAGACACGATGTTGATCGTAGCGGTGTTGGTGACGAGGTTGACAACGACGACGGCGCGGCGTCGTCGCGTCGGTTACCAAGGTTCGGGAAAACGGGTTCGACATGCGCGCGCGGCCGACGCGCGAAAATGGCCTGCAATGTATGGTTTGACACGGATCGTGCCCCCCCCCCCCCCCCAGCACGCGCGCAAAGGCGTGCGAATGATGTCGGCCTGCGGCGCCCGAAGCCTGTTTGGCAGAAGTCCAGGGTTGAGAAATTCATGACTTGCTTATGGTTTGAGAAACCGAAAGTTTGTTGAAGAAGTCGCAGGAGCGCGCGCCCAAGCTGTTTTGAACACTAGTGTTGCGAAGCCCCGTGGTTTGATTTGTGTTCGGGCGCTCGGTTTTGAACGTTGCGAACTCGAAGGTTTCTGAGTGTTTTCGGCATGCGCGCGCGACGACGCGCGCGTGTGCACTTCGATTTATTTGTTGCAACGGGTTCTCGCGACGGCACGCGCGCAAGGGCATTCGAACGATGTTGGCATGCGCGCGCGAACCCGGTTTGGTCACACGTTCTGAAAATAGTTGAAACCCGTGGATTTTTCAAGAGTTCGCAAGAGTTCGCGCGCAAGTGTTTGTTGAACGTACGTGTTGCGACATCATTCTTAAAACTAAAATGTGATTTGGGCACTTGATCTCCAAATTCTTACGACATCAATTGTTTTCGTCAAATTCTGGCACGTGCGCGCGACAACGCGCGTGTGTGCATTTCGCCCCATTTGTTGTACAGTGTTCTTGAATATGAGAATTGTTTGATATATGAGTGCGCGCGCATGGTATGTTTTACAAAAGGATGCCTGGGGGCCGGATACTGGCTCAGTTGGGATGGTATGCGTTCAAATCGAGTATGAACAATGGGGCAGATGCGTATGTAAATTGCAATATGACAAGGA